CAACAAGCACATCATTCGCAAGACCTGGCCTCTAGCGAACATGGAGTCCAACCTTGACTCTGTCGGCAGCGCCAAGTTCATCAGCGTTGCAGACGTCCAGTCAGCGTACTGGCAGATTCCTGTTCATCCTGACCACGTCGAAAGGACAGCCTTTGTCACCAACTCTGGCAAGTACTGTTACAAGCGGATGCCGTTTGGTGTTTGTAATGCCCCGTGGATTTTTACTGAGATGGCCCATAAAACGTTAGGCCATATTCCCGAATTGTTGATTTACATGGACGATTTCTGTGTTCTTTCCGCAACCTTCGAGAATCATATGAAGTCTTTAGAGAGCATGTTCGTAGCTCTTCAAGCAGCAGGTTTGACATTGAAACCTTCGAAGATTTCGTTTGGCCCAAAATCCATCGAGTATTTGGGACATATTATTTCGGCTGAAGGGATTTCTGTCGGGAAGGATCGTATTCAAGCCGTCCAAAACCTTCCTACACCTCGTTGCCTTAAAGATCTTCGCTCAGTACTCGGGGTGGTTAATTTTGTGCGCCGGTTCATACCGGATTACGCAGAAATAACCAACCCGTTGGTGGAGTTAACTCGCAAAGAGTACGCCACAAAATCGCGTTTCGTAAAAGCTTGGAAAAAATCGCACGACGCATCGTTCGCTCATCTCAAGCGGTTATTAACTTCAGCGCCCGTTTTACATTTCCCGGATTTCGATCGGGAATTCGTAGTTCATGTGGATGCATCCGAACATGGGTGTGGCGCGTTTCTTGCCCAGCCGTCCAAGGCTGATCCGGAGTCTCTTGACATAATTGCGTATTACAGTCATCGATTCAAACATGGACAGCGTCATTACTCTGCGTCTATGAAAGAGTGTTGCGGTGTGGTACTTGCAATTTCGCATTGGCGACCGTATTTATTTGGGAAACACTTTACGGTGATTACTGATCATCAAGCGTTGACTCATCTTTTTTATATGCAAGACACCAGCAACATGCTCACTCGTTGGGCTATCGCTCTTCAAAACTATGATTTTACCGTCAAACACGTAGCGGGGAAATTAAACGTCGTACCCGATGCGTTATCTCGTTTATTTGGCGAAATTGAGTCCGAGTCCGTATCGCACAAACCGGCCCTGGCGTCGATTTGTAGGAATGTGCCGAGTGATCGTCCGTACCATCCACCTGGCCCTCGTGACTACGAAATTTCTGCCGATTCGTTGAACGATGTTGATATTGTCCAGAATGACAATGAACTGTTCGCTAGTGCTGTATCGTTATTTCCTGTGCTGGATCCCGCTAAATTGCGAAGAGAGCAGTACAAAGAGTTCGGTCCGTATATCGACTACGTCAAGAACCCCAAAACAGCACCGTTGCCGTCTAGCGAAAATAAAGGCACCATGAGTAATTACTTCTTGAATGAAAACGTGCTCTTCAGGTCGTATTTACCCGGGTATCTTCGTAAACGCAGTTCGTTCCGTGATCAACTTGTCGTTCCCACCGTTTTGCGTGCGTTAGTTTTGGATTCTTGTCATGATGCTCCTGCGTCAGGGGGTCATCTAGCGTTCAAAGCCACGTACGATAGACTCAGAGATCGTTTTTGGTGGCCGACCATGTCTCGAGATGCGTCCAAACACATCCAGCATTGTTCGTCGTGCCAACACCGAAAAACGTCCCACAGACGACCGTTATTACCTGTGGGTCACCGTCCCGTTACCCGTCCGTTTCAGTGTGTCGCGATCGACCTCGTTGAATATAATTCCGTATCACAGGGTTGCAAGTACGTCTTGTCGGTCATCGATCACCTGACCCGTTTTCTCGTGTTGATTGCTATTCGTGATAAAAAAGCAACAACAATTGCACAGGCTCTCGTAGAGCGTGTCTTTTCCGTTTTCTCTCCCCCTGAAACGTTACACAGTGATCAGGGCACTGAGTTCGAGAATGAGTTGGTTAAAGAGTTGCAGGCCGTGTTTGGTTTCAAAAAAACTCGGACGTCCGCGTATCGGCCGCAAGGCAACTCTGTATTAGAGCGCGTGCACAGCACAATGCATGGCATGCTCGCAATGTATGCAAACGTTCGGTTTGATAATTGGGCTGAGCTTTTACCGTTTGTGCAACTCGCCCATAACACCGCGTACAACCAAACTCTTGAGGAAACTCCTCATTATCTGATGTTCGGTCGCCAGGCTTTGCTTCCCGTGGATGTCATTCTTGGTGTACCGTCTCATGATAGCTCTGCTTCGCGGATGGAATATTCACGTCGTACCGTGGATAACTTGCAACTCGCGTATGAGATCGCTCGTCGTAATTTGAAAGAGCGAACTGACAAGCAAGCAGACTCGAACGAAAAATTATCCGTACCGCAGTTCACTCCTGGGGAACAAGTTCTCGTACATCGTCCCCATACCGTTATTGATGGCCCTAATCCCAAGCTGATCAGCCCTTGGCATGGCCCATTTACCGTTCGTTCAAAAGTGTCACCCGTCATATATCGTGTTTGCAAAGACGGCGAACTCGCGGAAACGTCAGTACACTTGGGTCGTATGAAAAAGTACTATGCTTTTCAACGTGATTCTGTCCCCGATTTTACTGAATTGGATGAGATGTTTTTGGGACAAACATTTCCAATTCCCGATTTGGATGGTACCGTGTTTACCGTAAAAATTGGATCGTACGTCGTCGAGGGGATAGACAAATTTAAACGTGGAGCAGGAAAACCGTCTCTCCACAACTTCCAATATTATTTCCTCCTCAAAGACCGTCCTGCGAGTCTTGGGTGGTGGAAGCACTTCAAAGAAGTACCCCAGTGTCATGAGATGATCCGTTCATATCGAGCGTGCGTTCTTCGTGATAATCCGCACGCCTTTGATCATTCTCCCAGGAAGTAGCGTCCTGGCTGCTTCGTATCGTGTTTCGTGCTGTGTTTTGCCTTATTCGTTTCGTATTTCGTTTATTTTCCAAGGGCTACGTTTTCGTTTATTTTATTTTATTTCATTTATTTTATTTTTGTACATATATGTTATTGTTCGTTGTCCAGCACGATCGTTTCGTAGTGCTCACCGTCCCCAACGTTCCTTCGCAGTCCGGCCGGACATTGTCGTTGTTGGTGGATACGCCCACGTTGGATGCAACACCTCGTGGAAGTCGGCAGGTGGAGCCTAGTTCGCGTCGAGATTCGCCCTCCGCGAACCAAGCATGGTTGCGTGTCTTCGTTTCGTTGGACATGCATGCTAGCGCACGTCATTTTTAAGGCATGGCGTTGCCCGTCCGTTATGTGATTTATTTATTTTTTATATATTTCTCCGTTTAAATGCCGTACGAAATAGTACCTCGTACGAGCTCCGTCAGCGTTTTCAATTGTTTATGATTGGAACGTGCGTCCGTTTTTTTTTTTTAGACAATCGTGCGTGGTGTGAAGCGTCCATTACCGTTGTGTCGCTGTCCTTGAGATACGAGTGCGTCGTATGGGGTCAGTTGATACTTCATGTGAGCGAATATGCAGGATCGGAAGTTCGTCGTTTTTTCTCGTCCACTCCGTCATTAAATTGGGGGGTGATATCGTCTCACTTGCAGTTGGGGGAATTGCAATTGATAATCGACTTCTGGATCCATGCACTTTTGCATTGTTCACACGGTTTTGTTCATGCCCGATTTGTCTAGTCGTTTCGTGCGGTGGATTTTTATTCCGTGCCGTTCGTCCGTGCGGGAGATCACATGTTGCCTACAGCGCTGAAGCTGACTGCGTGACATGTTCCGTACACCTTTCGTTATCCGCACATCGTTTCTCGCGTGTCGTACACTGCGAAAGAGTAGATGGGTGTCTTGGCCGTGCAAGAGGAAGCACAAGAGGACCAGACCTTCGTCCCACTACTGCGTCAAATCCATGCTACAGCATATCGTTTGCTGTACTCGTAATCACCATTCGTCGTCGTTCGTCTATGCAGCGCCTCTCATTTGCGTAATCGCATGAGAAGGTCGTATCGTTAGCTCTCCGTGAGCTGTGCACATATGTTCGTTCGTTGTTGCAGCTGCATATCGTTTGAGCAACGTTTTCCCAGCGGGTCGACCCACGTCATTTGCCATTCGACACTTGTGAACTTTAAGCCTTGCAAGCAATCGTTTTTCACAGGTGCAATGCCAAATTATTTTTCGTTGCTGGATGTTCGTTACGTGCAACTACAAAATAGTTCACGGCGTTGTCTCAAGGTACTACTCGTACAGTTTTTTTACACTATCGGGGCAAGACGCGCACCGAAGTGATGTTTTTTTCTGTACACCCGTCGTTCGTTCGTACGGTAGATCACATGTTACCTACAGCGCCGAGGCGGACTGAAGTGACATGTTCCGTACACCTTTCGTCATCTGTGTAGTTATTCGTTCGTCGTACGGGAATAGTTGCCAAAATTCCTGAATTGCTCTCGTGCAAACTGTGGTTGTGACTGCATTATGTACGATCGATGCTCGGATGAGATATTTTGGTGACACGTTCCAAAAAAATTTTGTGACTACAAAACACAGAACATTCGTTGAATGATGGCAGTCACCGTACGTTACGGCCCAAGTCATTTAACTCGTGTTTTTCATCAGGACTTCACCATTTCATACACTCTGGGTTATTTATGTCATTCTTGTATCTTTCAATCCGGATTCAGGCCCCGTGATTGAAGATAGGGGGGTGCTGTGAATGCCACCTCAGACTGTAGTAGATGGTGACGTCAGACGACCTGTCGGAGATCTACCTTCGGGGTGTTGCCACAGATAGAGTCAGTGTCGGGTGGATGCTGAACCTTGCTTCAACACAAAGTCGCTCCCCCCCTGGTTCACAACACAACTATCCGTACTCGTCAGCCTCTTCACCAGAGGTTGAACCGGTGTGTATCCACACCACACATCCCAACGGGAACTTGCTCACACGAGAACCTGGAGACAACAGTCTCATACTTCTACTCGTAAAAATTTACGGGAAAAAAACAACTGCAAAAACACACGCACGCACGCACGCACCTTTTTTTTCTCGTTGGAAACTTGTCGCTTGAGTCCGGCCACGATCGGCGTGAGGTAATCGACCTTCCGCTGCAGTCTTTCGGCCTTCACCTTCTCGAGCAAGAGTTCATCCTCGAGGCTGCGGGTGCTGTCCTCCTCCGGGGGCGGATCGTCGGCGACGATTGGTATCCCTGCATCCTCCAAGAGGGTGGCGTTGGTCTTGCGGAGCGATTTCACCGAGTCTTTCAGACCGGCCAGCTCCTTCGACATGTCGCGGACTCTCTCTTCCGCCTGCCGCCGACTCGCGGCCGCCGCCTCCTGCTCTCGCGTAGCCTCATGTTTCTCTTGCTCCGCCTGCTGTCTCCGTGCCCGCTCCCGCTTGAGCTCATCGTCTTTCTCGCGCGCAAACTCCATCGCCATGTTGCAGCTAGCCTGGCTCCCTGGCTCTCTACCGCAATTTTCTTACTCTTGACCAACTCCTCCTTCGTTTCCTCCAGCACTCTCTCCACGACGTTGAGGCTGCCACGTTCGATAGCGCGCCGCGTGTTATTTGCTGCTGACGCCTCGGCTACAGACTTCCCCGTCCTATCTTCAAACTTCTCTCCACTTTTCCTCAGATTTCGTGCAGCGCGCCTGCTGCTGCCGAAAGCGGACCTCCGTTTTTTTTTTTTGGTAGGCTGTAGCTTCATGTTGAAAGTTTTCACGGTTGGTTCTGGTTTGGTTTTGGTTTGGCTGTGTTTGGTCAAGAACCGATTGCGGGGGGTGTCTGCAACAAGTGAATACTATCTTTTGTGCCCCGTTTCGAGTCTACCCCTGACCGTTTTGTGACCCATCCCGGTGACTGCACACGCACAACCTTAGGAGAAGAGTTATGTGGATCAAGCGTGTGAAGTACCACTAGTAGTAGCCTTGTACACGTGTACCAAGTGTCATTGTGGAACCCAAAACGGCGACGGCATGTCCTGGCTCATTCGAAATGTGAAGACCCTGTCTCTGGGATGCCTTGTCGCACAAAACTGCGCCCTGGTGTTGACGATGCGCTACAGCTTGACGGTCCAAGGACCCCGTTACATATCGTCGACCGCCGTGGCCCTAATGGAGGTGAGTGGGTGGTGGTAGTGTAGCGCCTACAGAGTTATTTCGCTTTTCACGCGTTTGTGTTCATGTCTCGTTCCACCCACCTATACCCCGGAAAGGAACAACACTGCAAACAGCAGCAGACCGCTGCGGAAAGATCCGTGCATCTGTGCGCGCAGTGGAGCGGAGAAGGATGACACGTGTGTTGGCTCTATGCACGATGTGTACCGTATACGACACAAGACACACACCCCGGGGATAACATTTTGGCCTTTATAAAATATTCCCAGCCGTAATTCACTTAATTCACCGCAGGTGTTTTTTTTTGTGGGGGGGGGGGGGGTGCTATCTTGTGTAGCCCTGGTGATAAAAGTGCAGGTCGCGGGAGCCATGAAGAGGGTGTGGTAACCAAGGGGTGTGATACCACATATCGTGCACTTTTAGATACTGAAGTTGTGTGGATACTATAGGAGGTGTTAGCACCACCCGCATAGGGGAGCATGGTATGAGGCGGGGTGATGCCCCTGCCTGAAAAACACTACCGCATTGGAAGGGTGTGTGGTCCTGGGTGGGGGTAAAATGGCTCCGACACCATTGAGTTACAGCAGTGAACTTCCTGCCGAGTGTTCTTACAGTCGTGCGGAAGTGAGGGGGCAGGTGCTATGCACATAGCCCCGGTATGGAATGTCAACAGCGCTCTCTTGAAACAGCGAAAAGAAGTTGCATCCATCACTACCGCGTGGCACAAAGAAAGGAGTATGCGAATTGGCGAGGGATAAATGAATGGTTGTGTTCATGGAAGGAACGGCGTGGTTCCCCCGCACTCGAAACGTGTATTGCTCATGTTCCTTGCTGAGTCATAACCGGGCTGATATTAGCATGGTCTCCATGATTGCACGCGTCCAACCTAACGGGGTGTGATATCATATGTAACCTGGGTGGTATTTCGGCTCCTGGTATCTACGAAATCCAAAAATGTTAGCATGGGGTGTTGTACTCTGTGTTGGGTGTCTTATCTCGTGTGGGTGTGTTATCGTGTTGTATTCTTGTTTGGCCGAAGTCGCTTTTGGGCTTTTGCCGTTGCGTGTACAATCTCGGAGCACAATATCTGTACCATATTTGAACCCATCGCCGCTTGTTTCCCTCCACCCCTCCCACGCACATCGTCATTCGCAGATGTTGAAGCTGGCTGTGTGCTTCGCTGTGGTTTACTTGGTGAGTACGCTTGGCCGCTGGTGAACTTACAGACGTCCCCTACATACTTGCTACCTCAAGGCCTGACCACGATGCCTTTGGCCTATCAAACAAATGGTTGTCTCGTAATGATGGACGTGTACGGTTCCCCGTGCGAACGGACTCCATGGGTGTTTGTACATACGCCGGGGGGGTTACAAATGACAAACGTGTGTGTTTATTCGAACTCTCGAACACGCTAAATGTGTTGACTAATGGAATAACGTCATGCGGAAACAAGGCAAACAGAACGTGAAGGTGTGTGTGCTTTGTTCATTAGCACCGACAGCGCTAACCGGCTGATTAGTGAAAATAGAAGTACAACCAACTTCATCGAACGGCCAAAACCCGAAGAATGCGCAACGCGCTAAATAAACGAGGACAGAAAAATCTCCTCTACGAATACTCTCTAATAGACACACACCAATGCTTCATACATGCCCTCACTCGAATCATGGAAGCCAATGATGCAAAGAGCGGAGGACAACACAGGGGTGATTTCACGCCCAGCCGAAGCCAGGATGTCGCTGTCGCTGTAGTATCTCCCAAATTGAAAATCGTAGGACCCAGAAGTCGTTGTGTCAGCAGCCAAGAGTCAAACAAACTAGCAATGCATATCATAGTTCTACACATGCCCTCGCCCGAGCCTGGGAAGTGATGAAAAGAGCGGGGGACAGGGTTGTTTTCCTTCGCCAACCGAAGCCAGGATATAGTTGTATGGCGCATGTCCCAATTTGGTATTCGTACACTCCCAACATCCGACAGTCATCTTGTCAGCACCCAGAAGAAGAGTACAAGGAAATAGAACACATCATACTATCATCGTCCACGCATGCCCTCGTCCAAACGTAGGAAGCCATTGATGCAAAGATCGGAGGACACCGAAAGGGTTATTTCAAGCCTAGCAGAAGCCAGGATGTGGTTGTATCTGTATTTCCCAAGTTGACTACAGTAGATAGGGAAGAATAATGAGCCGTGGGGTCGGCTCAATCTCGGCAGTAGTCTGTATCTGCGATGCTGTGCGTGATGCAGACTTATCCGCACTTGATACACCAGATAGAATAACACATCGCGCAGCGCGGTGTGGAATGCAGGTGGAAAGTGGCAGGAGCACAGCAGTTCCAACATAACCAGGTCGTTCTCTCGCGTGCACCGTTTTGTCAACATCTTCAGTCTCTCTCTGTTTCGATTGCTGAAGGCGGTGTCGTTCGTTTGCTTCCTTTATCCCCCGCCCTATTGTTGTCCAGCCCAAGACGTCCTCCCTATCGTTCTGAGTCCCACATGGCGATTGCGTCCACAGCGCCAACCGCCTCTACTTCGCTCTCCGCTGCTGCTGTTGCTGCTGTGGGCAAGACCTCAAACTATCCTGTTTTCACCTATCGATTTTTCCAACGGCAAATAGATTCGCGAAGACTCTCTCTGTTGTTTGGCCAGAGAGCGGGCACCAGGTCAGCTGTTACTGCTGTGCTTTTACTTATGGAAGGGATTGGACCACGACGGGTGGGTGTGATTCTGTAGATGTGCGAGACTAATCAGCGATATGCAACTTCTTTTATCTTCTCCTGGTTTGAATCGCGCGCGCTTGAGATCTCCGCTTTGTAATCCCGCCTTTCTTCCTGAACACCCGGAGATGGGGTGAGGAACCTCCTACGAATTTTGGATACAAATGCCTGTGAAGCACAGCCATCTCTCGCCAAAGCACGACCAAGCCGGTGTGACGAAGAGTGCGCTATTTTCTCCCTCCTTAGAAGCCAACAGATCGTAAATGGGTGCCCTGTAGATCTCGTTCTGGTCCCAAAAGGTGGGTCATTTAGGCTTCCCGGAAATCAAACTTTGGGCCATCTCATCGCGTTCGAACAGGCCGATATTTAGAGCCTGTTTTTTTCCTTCCTGGGACGAAGGGAAAAGAACGGTCGCGCTTCGCGCTCCGCGGCTCATTGTAATCGTCCATTCCCAAGATCCAGCAGTCATCGTGTCTACAACCAGACGAGTCATCCAAACTGTCATCGCTCCACACATACATGCCCTCGCATAGAGGAGCTGTAGCATCTGGGTTCGGCAACGTACCCGACCGTGAGAGAGAATCAGAAAATGTGACAGCAACCGGGGGCCCTTTGGCGATTGGTACGTATGTGTGTGTGTTCGACCAAGCGCGAAGAGAGACCAAAGAAAGACCGACAGAACGGGCATCAGTAGCAACCTTCATACCAGGACAAGGTCCCTCTTTAAAATTTCTTGCCGAAATACTTTCCAGGGTACGACGAATGCGACCGTGGTGTTTCTGCAGCTATACGCGTTTTGAAAGTTGAGTACAAGGATTGAGAGCGAGGGAATGCGATACATACAAACGTCAAGGCCGAGGTGTTGCTTTCCTCTGAGAAAACGACGAAACGCCTGAACTTTCAGGTTTCCAGCATTGGAGTTTCATAACGAATATGTCACGGTGATTTCACGGGGGGCAAGCACCCTGGATGCTATCGCTTGGGTAGAATCTGTGGGTCACCGGTAGGCAGACAAAGCTCCTGGGTGTTGGTGCTGCGTACATTGAGGTGTAAGAATCCGAGTTGCTGTCTCTCCGCGTGGTGGCACACGAATCCGTACCGGGCTTGTCGAACAAAGCCACGTTTCAAAAGCTGAGGCCACCCAAAGTACGTTGCATCAAGCGCTTCACTTGATTAAGAAACATACTTCCTGGTAGTATTGGAAAATTAGGAGTGGATGAACCCTGCGAAAATACCATGGCTATTCATGCAGAAGTCAGAGTGCTGGCAACCCTCAGCTCTACGTGGCGGTGTTTCGTTGTACTCTCAGAGGAACTGTCAAGGTGTTTGGACGGCGTCTGCAAAAATCTGTTGCTGCCTTCATCATATGTTGTGTCAGCATTCTGTGTGCCCGTTGTACGTCTACGAAAGTAAAAACCTGAATGCGTTGGTTGATATCTCCGTGGCCTGACGATCGAAGAAAGGAGTAAACATACATCCTCGATAGGCCACACGGTAGCTGTAGCCACAGGCATGGTAGCTGATAACATGTCCGGTACCATCCTTAGGGCGAATCATGATGCCTGGTGTTTTGCTGTTGCGAGTGGTTTTCCGCGTCGTGGAGAGAACCCAACAATGCCCTCGACACCTGAGTTTTGATTGTTTGCTTGTTTGTTTTTCTCTCAGGAATCGGGAGAACTGAGGACCTTCTCGAAGAAATTGCGCGTGGAAGTTGCCGGAAAGCCACGGGAAATGGCGAAGCTCATGATCCCGGCCATGCTGTACACCTTGCAGAACAACATGTTGTACATGGCCCTGGAGAACCTCGATGCTGCGACCTACAGCGTCTGCTATCAAACCAAAATTCTCACCACGGCGCTCTTCTCTGTGATTCTGCTACGGAGGAAGCTTAGCGCCACAAAATGGGGGGCGTTGGTTTTGCTCGCCGTAGGAGTGGCCCTGGCTCAATTGTCAAGTCAATCGACGAACAGCCCCAAGGCAGATGAATCCTCCCGGGGGCAATCTCCGGTGGTGGGGTTCTTGTGTGTCATGGGCGCTGCATGCACCTCGGGGTTCGCAGGGGTTTACTTCGAAATGCTCCTCAAGGGAAGCAAGACATCGTTGTGGATCAGAAATATCCAAATGGGCATCCCCAGTATCGTGCTCGCTTTTGGTAGCGTGATTGTCAAAGATTGGCGGGCCGTGACATCGAACGGTTTCTTCTTCGGGTACGGCTGGGTTGTTGCGGCGGTAATTGTACTGCAGGCGGTGGGGGGGCTGGTAGTTGCCGTGGTGGTAAAGTACGCCGACAATATTAGGAAATCGTTTGCGACTGCGATTTCCATTATTATCTCCTGTGCGTTATCCACTCTTTTCTTTGCCTTTAAACCTACTTTCCTTTTTTTCATTGGCTCTGCTATGGTAGTTGGGAGTGTTTTTCTGTACACGAAGCAAGATCGACCTGCTAGGTTGCCTCTTTTCAACAAGGGCAGGAGTGTTACAAGAAGAGTGTAGAACAACTATTCTGTTTTTACAACAATTGCGTCTCACAGAACTGTATGCGCTCCCTTGAGTGTAGTGTTATGTAGCTTTAATTTAAGAGCAGCCTTCCACCTAGACTGCGGGAAACGCGTTGCCTCTTGTCAACCTCTACTGGGACAACACCAAGGAAGACAAGAAACAACAAACTGTGGGACCTACCGGCAATCCAATTAGGATTTTGATACGTTGGCAGAAAACTCGGCATCTGCCGTGTACGTTGAGCGTGATCTGTGGATCACACCACGCGTTGAACCACAGATATGAAGCACTTGCAGGCGGGCATCATTAACAGACATATGTACAGCTTACAGTGCTTCCCGCCGAATAGCGAGCATCACAGAAAAGATCCCCACCCGACTTGCCAACTACTCTTGTTTAGACGCTGCTCGCCCCCGTTCTCTTTGTTATCCGCACAACATGATGTATGGTGCGGTGTAGCCCAGCCTTTGTAACCATGCCCGAAACGATACAATATTTTCTTCGGGAAGTTCTCGACATGACGCATCCAAGCGGGCATCTAAAAGTTTTCGGTTATGGAGGCTCAGCTCGGAGGTGAAGAGATTTCTCCAACAAGGCGTCGATTGCCTCGTTGAGCTCCTTCGTGCGGAAAGCTGGTCTCAGCCCTGCCTCGCCTACCCGATCGCGTTGGCTCCCGCGAAGAGCGTCCATCCAAACAGCCTTGTTGCCGGGGCACGCGTGAACCGCGCGCCAAAACAATTGCTTCGCCTGTAAGAAGTTCCCGCGCATGGCCTGAGTAGAAGCAACAAGAGTAATGACCGCGTTTCGACAAAGTTACTTCGCGGGCAAGGTGAGAGCAGACATGGACCGGGAACCAACCTATCGAAGAAGCTGAAAAGATGCACTCGCCTCCATGGACATATACATCCTCCAGAGGACAGGCATCCCGCGACCGGTGGGGTGGGTTATCGCGGACTCCATCGAGCGCTTCAGCCTGCTATAAGAACCCGGCAGCCAATTCTTGACACGAAGGGCTTCGTCATTGTGCCGCCGGTAGGCCGGTGCTGTGGCGTCAACGTGTTCCACCGTTCCTCCAGCCGCGATCATGGTTTGACGCGCCTCACGCACGCAGCGCATCACCTGCATCAGCATTTACCAAACCGAAACGTCCATCGCACGAGATATGCATGTTGTCCTCAACTCTTTGGCTACCAGCGCTTAGCCGAAAGGCGGTCAACCTCGTGTCATCATGGTTGTGCGACCTTGGGGAATAGTGCGCTGGACACAATGCTTACAGGCGACTAGCATTGACAACACTCGACGAGTGCCTTTGCTCGTGATGACACATGAAGGACCAGAATGCCGCTGGTGTGTTACAGATTGTTGACGTCGATGACCTGTCGGAGACCTACCTTCGAGGTGTTCCCTCAGAGTAGAGCCAATGGACACGCTGAATCCGCGAACAAGTACAGCAGGCCAGCCGCCCACTCTCTCACACATATCGTATACCCTTCTCCCATTCTCACGAGAGGAACTCTGGTGTATCCTTCACATCACATGCAGTATCACACAAAGAACGTTGACTCCCAGCGCGAACCTGGAGACAACCGTCTCATGCTGGGACAGAATTCTTGTCACCATCACGCCGGTGGTCTGTGGTTAGCCTTGCAAACCTACTAATAATTCGATCTCCTCCCTGGAGTGATAATCAAGGTATATCTTTCCAATGTTTGGTAGAAAACGATTAATTTGGTGAGTGCACACTTCGACTTCACGGTCGACGACGGAATGGGCCGCTGAAATCTTCTCGTGATAATAACTGAGGCGAGCACTGCAGGAGGGAAGGCGGGGCAAAACAACAAAAAAATATCCCTGTGTGAACCCAGTTGATACGCCCAACAATACACCAAAAGGTGTGCAGATTTGGCACCAGAATGTATGGAACGAAGACACACATCCCATGTTATCTTCAGTTCAGAACGCAAGCCTGTCGAGCTGTCGAGTGTAGTGCGAGCAACGAAAAAAAAACGGAATTGATGAAAACGCTTGTGCCATCGGACAGCTACTTCCTGTGTACCTGGTGAGTGGTTGATAGAATCCACTCCAGCGGGGTAGGGCCTTGCTCCCACAGCAACGCTCGTCGCCGGGACACCTGATTCGTGTAGAACACACGCGGTAAACGTTTGTAGTATGCTGTTTCAGAAATTGCCAACAGCAAATTCGGCTGTCAGTCCTTGAGATCAAACAAGGGGCGAAAGAGGTCATGTCCGGGGTGTCCAAAGTACTGAACACGTTAACGGACGTACTTGTGGTGAGAACCCGAAAATGCTTCGCGAAGTGTACGCGACGAAGTTTGAGCCTTACCTCGAACAGGTGGTGTACGAGCCGTTGCTGACTGCTCGAAAGCTGCTCAGTGTCCAAAAGCAAGCATAGCATGCCAGGCTCAGCTGGAAACGACACCAGCCCACGGAGCAGCACCGCACGCACCTATGTAGCGTTTGCACATGAAACGGCGCGCACAGCGGGGTGTACCACGAAACATCCCACACCAACATTAGCAAGCTAGGAGGTTGTCCTGGTTGAGACGAAGCCCTACTCAGATGTGAAGTGGTCGCTCACGCCCAACCAAAAACGGAACGTGCCCCACAAAGTGCAACGTCATCACTGGGCGGTTGCTTTGCACTGTTGATTGAATCTTTCGTGCTTACCCGTCGTGGTCCAGCGTCCACCGGATTGTAGCGCTGGGCTAGAGTCATCAGCTCGCTGAAGCCTCTATGCATGCGCTCAAGGCACACACCGAGAGCCGTATGTTCGGGAACCACGTTCCAGATGTACGGTTTGTTGCCTGCTCTCGAACGGAACGATAGCATTTGCGATGGGTGGAATGCTACCATCAGATACACAGCAGGATGCAGGGCCAACGTTGTACCGCTGCTGGGTAGAGCCTAGGACGAATGCTCACGGCTTGAACCGCTTCCTACCAGTTTTTGCGGCATGTTTCGTCGTGCTCAAACAAGGAATCAAGGAGTCCAATGAGCCCGAAAAAGAAACACGCGCCGACGAAACATGTTTAACATCAACGAACATCAGCCTACAAAGCAAACTGGCTCAACCGTCGGTTTATTTAGAAGGCATAACTCCCCTCGACACAGACAGCCGATATGGACCAGCTGATGAAGGCTACACTTACAATAAAAACGCAATATGAGGAGCTCGCACCATGTTGATTATCGAGGTTTCGGGAAACGTGATGGACTCACCAGTGGAGGTTCCGCCGATGCCGAAGTTGCTGCTGCTGCTGCTTTCAGCAGCAACACCACTAGCTTCACCAGACCCCGTCGGCGTTGTGCTGGGCTGTGCCAACCCCAGGCACTTTGACATAGCATCCTCTGCTGCGTCTAACCCTACAGAGAGAAACTCCATCCAAACCCACGCAATCGCGTGGTACATGAATGGGGGCGTCATGTCCAACGCTCCATCGGCAACATCTGTATATGGTTGTATTACGGGGGAAGAGGGTTGAGCGCGGCGCGAAAGCTGAGGCCGCCGACAAAGAAAAAAAAAATCTTGCTAGAAAGAGTCTTCGCAGCAGCTCCCGTGCGATCCACCATCGTCCTTGCCAACACAAGTGCCGCAAACTTATCTCTTCCAGCAGACATTGCTACACAACACCCAGAAGTATAACATCGAAGAGCCCCAAGGTACCAATGACAAACCTATCGAATCGACCACGACGTTACCTCTTTGAACTTCCTGTGCCGCTTCCCTAGCAACTCGATCAGCCATCAGCTTTCGTGCCGCCAGGAGCCGCGGGGGGGTTATCAAGATAGACTCTGCACTGGAACCCTTGCCATCGCGCTGAACAAATGCACGTTCACAGGGAGAAGGAACCTAGTTGGAATGCGTGACCCACACCATGACTGTGAAAAAATTGCATGCAGCACGCATCGCCTCCGTGATCAAAAAGTATTTTCCACGTCTTTGGGATGGTCAAAGTCGTGGCGCCTAACATTGGCTCGAAAATTCAAGAAAGTGCTCGTTTCGCATGTATTCGAACAAACTCCGATTTACAGTATGGACAAGGAATATGCATAGAGGACCGCTGAAACCTTTTCGCGATAACTTCAAGGCACTGCACAGCAGGGACGTGTCTGTTTAGACTTGAATCGCAGCTTCTTGGCAGAGCAGGCAAGACTGCACGGTAGCTGTGTATGGATGTGCGAGCGACAGCAATCGTTGAGATGACGAAGAAACGAAGCGAAAAAAACGATTGAGCAATCGCAGGTCTAGGTACGGAAATGCTTTCTTGCCTCGCCCAATCAGAAACAAAATACCTTGCACAGCACGCAGCACGCACCTTGGACCGTTTGCTCTTGCTCTTCGGGCGCTTAAACCCTCCCTCCGCGAAACTGCACAGCATCAATAGCGCCATTTCTCGACCATGACGGCCTTTGTTGCCTGTCTCGAACAGGTTGCCAACGGTCTCGTCATCTTCCCCGGGGTGGGGATCACGCGGGCTGAGTGGAAGTCCGGCGTGAAGCCTGAAAGTGAGCCAAAAGAGCTCGGCTGAAAACCCTTTTTTGTCTTCCGGGAGGGCCTGCAGGGACATTCAAACAAGAAAGCGTGTTACAGGCATGCCTTGTCGACACCGGACGCCGAACGTATGCAAAACCACCTACAAAGATATTATGGACATCCATAAAAGGGTGAAACGAATGTGATGGAACACACGGAAAAGCAACGTCACTCACTTGCACCATGGAAAGCGCCTTTTCGGCCACCTTTATGGCTTCTTGTGTACTGCCGAGAAGCGCCAACAGTTGGACGTACGAGCTCCATAGCCGTAAATCAGTTGCGCTAGCCTGACTCGCCTGAAAAAGAGGACGGCGTGAGCCAGGTCAGGGGACGACAACAATTTGGTTACACCATTGACGTCCCGCGCTCCGCAGACAGACACGAGACAGGAGACTCTCTCTGTCTATCGTAGTAAAAATTGCACATGAGCCATCATCAATCCGCACGCCCGTTGTATGCCGCACAAGTACGTATTGATGGTACCATCAGCTTCGGACAGTTCATCGCCGAAACATGCAGAGCAAAATGCAACAGTAACTGGACAACCGCGAACGCAAGGTTCGGTTACAAATCGTCGCGATGACGGCATGTTTTGTTTTGTCTTCCTACAACACGTGTCGCGATATAAACGGCAGCAGGTCACAACTGAAAAACGTAGGTTCATGGAAGACGATACCGTGAGAAGAACGTGAGACCTGCCTGGAATGCCAGGACGGAACGCGCAACAGATTCTCTTCGCTCATGATTGCTCAACAGTCGCAACAGAACATCCGAAGCCATTATGTATTAAAAGCGAACACTTGCCTCGAGCAGAGACTTCGCAACTTTGCGGGCCTCATGTCCATGCGTGTCCTCGTCAGACCACGCTGCTCCCTGTTGGGTTGGGCGGGTTTGCTTCGGAGCACTCCCTGCACTGAATCGACCATGCCGAGCACCCGATGCCGAAGCAAGGTAGCCTTCGAACATGATGAGGGTGCATTGAAGCTGCACCAAAATATTGGACCCCGAAGTAGTGCTGGGAAGCGATGCAGGAGCGCGGACGAGGTGATGCAAGACGTTTCGCAAAAACGCCTGTCGAGAACAGTCTGCCACAACGTCGTCGGTCAGTAGCAGGAACTGATCGGCCGCCGTGCTGACCACTGCTGGGGGAAGACAAGATCCTGGTCGACCGGTGCACCCGACGACGCCTGATCCCGACACGGGTAAGTCGCCCTCGGAAGCCCTCCACACAGCTTGCAAACCGTTGTTGACGGAAGATATCAGGCTACCGGACAATCCCCCATCACCGAACGACCCTGCACGGCAGGCCTCCGACATCAACTTCGGAGAGTGTGAAACATCGGAACGTGGGTGAACGAGCCCGCCCACAGACAAGAGCAACCCGACAAGGGTGCTGCAGAGAAGCCAAGAAAGCAATCATGACAGGGCGGGACGAAAGGACAGTAAGAACCCATGCAGTTGGCCAAATGCCGGTGTGGGCAGACGTACTGTTAATTATGGTGTAAAAGCGAGACCGTGATGTACCTTTTACAGGGTGCGTGCAAGAGTAAAAGGGCTCAATTTGTGAGACACCACAGCGCACTAGAGTCGTTCGACGTAAATTGCACGGAGTGCCATAGAAAGCTTACAGCAGAACGCACCTTATCGAGGCAGCATGGGATAGCCTGAAGAGAAACGGCCGTAGATCTTCAATAAAAACCACGCGATCGGGCTGCTCTTCGGCTCTCTCAGCATCTTGGATCGAGCTGAAGGACGGAAAATCCAAAAAGCGGAGATTGAGACATGACGCGCATCACGCCGGTCTGGGCGGCACTCTCGACTCTTCCAAACATTTTCCCGACATTAGATATCCACATCCTACCCAATTAGTCAAGACATGATATGACGTCGTCTGCGTGTCCTGGTGTAATCGCTCTACTGACTGTCCCTTCAAAATATGGCCCACAACTGACCGTAGTGGCTGCCACTGGCGTTGGGTCATTTCATCTTCAGCCTTCGCCCACTCCGAAAAAACGTCTCCTTCGGGCACATCTTGGAGCACGGCGGCTTGCTTTGCCATCTCAGCATCTCGTTCTCGAGCTCCTCGATATCGTAGACGCTTGGATGCAGCTGCAGCCACCTCAACATTCTGACAACCAAAACGAAAGGCCAGAGTGAGAACATGTTTGGCGCAGAATCTAGTGGACGTCTGGTACAAAAGAAAAAGCGGGTTTGGTAACGCAAAAATGCTTGAAGTTGCAGCCACCCAGGGGCCGCGACGACGGCCCGCAACAAATGATGGCATTAGTTTACCGACAAGAGGGCATGTGCGTACAATACTCACTCTGTCTCCATCTTCGCCCAGCGCGCTGCCTCCTCGCATTTGACTTAGTATTCGCCCATACTCGTGTCCTGACACTGAGTCCTGCGCCCCTTGCACATCGATTCGGTACCCGTGCCTGAAAGAGAACAAGCCACGTGCGAGCGTATTGCACCACAAACCAAGTTGGGGGCAACTGCATGTTCGACTACCGACAGGTTTGGGTGGTATACGGTTCGCAAACATGGACACGGGAACACGCAACAAATGTATGGCGTGCTGAAAAAGGGTCATTCTTGCCATACCTCACGCTGTACGCCGTTCGCTGCTCATCATCGAGCCATATCAAGCCCTCGGCTTCCACTGCTCGAGCACCCTCGGTTTCTGTTTCTCTTTGAACGGGACCCAAGTGCTCTCCAACCGTGCCTGAAGCTGTAACTTCGGATGATGAACCGTTGCCCCCAGCCGTGTCTTTCTGCGTACTCTCAGGTCCCGACAAGCCCTCACGCGATGTTCCGCTCTGTGGACGCTGACCGGAATCATTCTTGGCGTCATCGTCGCTAGATGGGTCTACGTGAGGGGAAGCGTCCGTACGAAGGATCGGCACAGCAGCCATTGCCATAGCTTGTGCCTTTTGGTAAGCCTTTTCCAGGACTTCGGTACCGCCCGTTGCCTTGGGTTGCTCAAAAGTTTCCGCGGGCAAATCTTCCTTGAAGAAGTCTACAGCTCGCTTGCGTTTGCCGCGAACGGCAATTGTTCTGGCTGTGCCGTGCTTCCGAGGGGCTACCTTCATGGACATAGCAACGAGGAGAACGGAGCAAGATCTGATATTACATGTCAACTAGCATGTTATCTCGAAAGGACGGGATGCAAAAAAACATTAAGCGCACGAAGCTACGTGCTGTACGTATTCGCAGCAGCTAACCCTCCCATGTCATATTCCCACAATAGTCTCACAGTCTTTTGCTGCCCCGTTTGAAGCGCCGATCCAGACGGCTTTGAGCTAGCCGTGCCTGCCATTTCGAGCCACCGCGTCATACCCGCTTGAGTAGGGTGCACATCACCAATCCTCGGAGCTTCGCTGTCCCAGAACGAAACGAATGTGTCTAGGGAAAGCGTGGCTGACGCCGTGTTCAACTCGACCATAGCTTGGAGAACACCCAAAGCACGCTCATGGTACCTGCACACGCGGAGGTGGGTGATATGAGATATCAACGGCTGCTCCAATCGTGTACCCGAAGAACGCATCGTATGAATCCACTACCCACACGAACCGTCATCTGCAGGGAACCCCCTAAACGCAACTACCATGTAGCTGGAGCGTCAACGTCGGACAGCACACTGTGGTACACATTATTGGGTGAAAAAACGGTTTGGAATGTCCCCAGAGGTGCGGGGGCTAAAAAAAATCAAACCAAAACAAACATAGCTCGCCTCGAGGTGGTGGTCTCTTCATTGCTGTTGGGAGCATCCCCCGAACACAACCACGAACACACACTTTACCGCTCAACTATCGCGCTGAAACCCACGATGTCGGTGACAACACCGACGGCCACGGCGACGACGACGACGACAACAACGTTGCCAGCATGCAAACCTTGGGTCTTCTGTGACCGGTTCGTTGTGCCGTCGGCGGCCAAAACAACACCCCGGGGCGAACTCAGAGGTACAGCGGCGAGAACGACACAAAAACTAGTTGATTACCGTCCTCAAAGTTTTGGGCACCAGCGGTATTCTAGGGGTAGGGGGACGATCTAACGGTGATAGACGTTCTCGAAGGGCAATACAAGTACGATAATACGCACCCGCTGGCTCTTTCAAAGACGCAGTAGTTCCAGAGCGCATCCAACAAGTTTCTCTCTGCGGCAGCCGTCTCCTTACTCTCCCCCTCTAGCATCGACTTATTCGCCTGAGAAGCGCGCAGAAGAAGCAAGAAAGAATGCCGGTTAGAATGAAGCGATGGACAATATCGTGACGTACACCGACATAGGCCTTTACTCAAGAACGCAGTTCAACACCACGACAGCACCGTGGCCTTCGAACGACCACAATCACACCGAACTGACCATGATAAACACTCCCTTGGCTCTCCGGTCCTGTTCATGAGCCCTCATTGCCTCTTCTCGCTTCGATTCTAGAGCTCGAACGCAGCGGGCGTAGAAAGAGCGCTGGCTGGTAACCGAAAAGGAAGCGAAGTGGGATGCCTTGAACTGCAGGTAACGAAGCCATAATGTGCAAGATTGGCTGCTCCTGAGGGTCAGAAGACGTGCGCGAACAACAGCAAACGACGCCAAGGAACGATTAGCAAAAGTTTGATCACTCCGGAAAAAGTGGGAACGCTCATTCGTCCGGTTGCCTGGATGTCCATGCAAAGGCGCCAAGGCTTCGCGTGAGGCACTCTCGCCTCGACAAAAGCTCACTTTTCGATGGCTGCCCTCCAGAGTGAGTCTACAACAACGTGCTCCTGCATCTGTGCCGCCAAATGTAGCTGTGGTATCCGTAGCCTGACGCTGAACGGATTCTGTCGTAGCGCTCCCTCCAGGACGGAGGCTCGCTTTTCGAGGATCATCCGCACAATAGCAGCTGTAGGGGGCTGCAAGGTGTGACCACCTGCACACAGTCGACGAAACAAGGCGTGTATTAACACTGAACCCCTTTAACTCCAGAGCGTCAAACGAAGATGGGTTGGGCTCTCGCCTACCTTCACGAAGAGAACGGCTGTGGCCGCAGCCTCTTTCTCACCGTGCAGAGCCCGAACGGCGTCTTCCTGATAATCCGCGTACTGCAGCCAGATGTCGTCCGATTCCGGTCGTTCTCGTGTCGCCAGGTTGAACTCCTTGGTCTTTCGTGCCACCCACTGTTCAAGACTTTCCGTCTGCACGCCGTGTTGCTCGGCAGTCGTGCCGTTCGTAGCGTGTTCATCCACGGGCGCCACGACAGGGGTTACAGGCAGAAAGTCGGTGCTCACCCTCTGTTTAATGTACTCCATCCCGCCAACTGTGGGCGCCGTACCGTCTCCAGAAAAAGCGCGAGAAGATACGGCATGAGTCCAAGCCAGGGTGTGATCCCTGCGTTTGTCGCCTTTCCAGAGTTGCAGGCGTTGGTGATCAATGGCGCTGGCACCCCGGACATGGCTACCGAAGTACCTTGCAACTTTCCTTCGCGATTTTCTGCTCCTGAGGGATTTACGCCGAACGGCGCGGCGTGAAGTTTATACCCAAGCTTGAAACATTGCGTGAGCTACAGGTGAACAGGGTAAGTCTTCGCAGGAACGGTCGACAGAAGTCTTCAAGCCGCAGGGCGAGGATGTGCTTTTTTTTACTATACTCACCTGCCTGCAGCACGAATATCGTGACTCAACTATCGCCGGGTTGATGATCGGGAGGGTGGAGGGTGCACACACGACAACAACCAATTCGTCTTCCACACGCCAGGATTGTCAACTCCTACAATGGTAGCGACAGCATGTCTACAAGTGCAAGGTCTCACCCCGCAGCGTCGTTCATGCCGTCATACAGAGGCACGTCGAGCCGGTAGAATTTGCCAAACGACAAATTATCCGGATCTCCTCGTCTGCGAACAAGCGAAGTTGGGCGTGTAAAAAGTAGTGGCATGATTCGGTCAAGTGTTCAGGTAGTGTCTATAAAATTCACGAAACGGATTTCACCCTAAGAAGATTCGGATATGTCCGAATCTGCATTCAAACGTCCACATTCGGCTTCATGGGAGAGAGGAAAAGATGCAACGATACTCTCACACGTATGCATACGCGGTGCAACAAGTCGATACACATTTTTGGTGCGAGGTACCTGCTCGTGCCGCACACAACGAACGCGAACATGGGGCGTGGCTGCTCACAGTGTCTGGGAAAGTGGAGTATTTTTGTTGTATCGAGCCACTTCGGACCGAAAGCCGCCACTTGGTCTGTGCACATGAGCTTCAACAACACGCGGGTGCACCACGTACACACCAGGGAAGACACACGTTGTATATTCTCAACGCCATTAACAACAGGCATGTGCAACGATGTACAGATACCCTTGGTGGTCTCTATGTGCTCTCTCTTCAACGGTGTGCGATGATGGATTGGTGTTTGTGTTTGAGTGGGGCACATGGGCACGCATTGTGCATGCGGGCAGACCACGTTTATGCCAGCTTTGCTTCCTTTCACCCACAGTCGGAATTGATTCTGTTTCTACATATTCTGGGTTTGCGCTAGAGCATCCCGTCTTAAGATGTAAGGAAGGGTGGGGAGTATCCGTACCCAATCAAAATTTGCGATATTTGAAGTTTTCGGCCTTAAAACTCAATCTGAAAGTGCTGTCAACCCTTTTGGGCCTTCAGGCGTACTGACTGATCATTGGTTAATAATCTGCAAATGCTGGTGTGATAGCAAGCCGTGGAGTTGCTGCCCTGTAGCCCTCCACGCCGGGTGTTGGGAAGTTCATAAGGTAGTTGTGTCTTTATTATTTTCATCGACCGCGCTAACCGGCTGACCACTGAGAAGACGTCAGTGCCAGTGGGTAAAACCTACGTGTCCGGAAGCGGGCCAAAACATGAAAAAAACATGCGCCATGCGCTAAATGCGAATGCTGACGTTGACCTCTCTCGAAGATATTTCACAGAGACACATATCACTGCACCAAACATACCCTCGCCCGAACCTAGGCAGCCATTGATCTAAAGAGCGGAGGGCTGCAAAAGGGGTATTTCAAGCCCAGCCGAAGCCAGGATATCGTGTATGCTACATCAATCTTTCGACAATAATCGCATGTTCCCAAGATCCAGCAGTCATCGTGTCAGCAGCTACACTACAGCAGTGTACACGAGTCAAACAAAACAGTATAGACCACGTACATACACATCATGGCTCCACACATGCCTTCGCCCAAACCTGGAAGCCGCTAGGTAGGTGTGTGCTGGTGTGCTGGTGTGTTTGTGGGGAAAAAACAGGGGCTCTAGTGAGCAGCAGGGCTCGCATCAGGGGGGAGCAGAGAAGTACAGAGAGGTGCAAATACCAGCTATGGGCCTTGAAGCCCTCTGACTGATCATTTCAATGATCTTTTGAATATGCAAAAAATGATGTAGTTGAGGCAGCTAGACGACTGATCATTTCAAGGTCTACAAGGCTACCCGCCGCAGCGCGACCACCCATCAACCCTTCCATGAATCTGTGGCCACCACCCTTATTACCTCGCATAGCGCGCAGAGGGAGCGTAGGACTCCAGAATATCTGTCGTTGATCTCTTTTGACTTGCGGACCCCTCGGGGGCCAGTTTATTTGAGTGTACCTTTTTAGGTAAGTTGGCCTGTGACCACGGGAATCGACCGCGTCAAGCGTTGGATCAGTACGGACATATGAAGATACTGGGTAGAGAGAGATCGGAACGGTTTTTAATGTGAAGACAACAACAACAACAACCCTTGTCGCGGGCTGCCCGCAGGGCCTAAAGGTGGAGATAGCTGTTGCGCTCACAGAAGCACACTTCGTCTCTTTTGCTACAATTCTGTCTCTTTCTTTCCGGGGTGGAAAAAAAAATCTACGTCGAAACGGAACCTAGGCCCAAATGGGTCAAGATTCGACTGCGCCGTTAAGACACAGCCTAAAACTAGGTGTAATATATGTTTAGACACATAAACACTGAAAAGGACAATAAGGGTCCTACGCTAAAGGCTGACCACCTATTTGATCTCCGCAGGGTAGATGGAACGTCCCTGCAAAGAATAGAGTGCCTTCTGACACGGTTGCCCTCAGCAGAGGACGCTCATAGAAGAGCAAATACAAATTAGCTTTGCTTCGTTTTGTGTCAGTTTGGGCCGTTTCAAACGGGTCACGTGTTGCTTCTAAATGTCCAGAGTTCTGAATTTCCAATACTTCGTATCATCTTATCCCACCAAGTTAAATAGAAAGTTACCGCTACATAATCTTGGAGCTAGCTTCCAGATTCCAAGGTTCCATTTTTTTCGGAGCCAGCATCGATTGTTCATTTTCTTGGAGTTTGGAAAAGCTGAAGCAGAGAAAAGTAGTCCGTTTAAAAACGGGGCGAACCAAAACGATTCGTATCCGTGTAACAACACACGCCGACGGCTGATCTCCCAAAGTGGCACAACTTGTTCAACGTTTTTGGAAAGACCTCGATGACATCTTTCCCACAGCCACCCTCTCTACACTGCAACATGGTACCAGGAAATGAGCTTGGTCATCGGCCCGTGAGAGTGAGAAAATCATGCCTTTCATATGGCATCATGCACAACAAGAAGTACCTGTCCTCGATGAATAGCTTCTGGCTACGCGAATCTGCTGACTTCGACCTTAGCTGGCGTGAGGAATCGTCGTCCGTGCTGTCTTCGCTCCTGCTAACGACGCGTGGTAGTACAGAAGAGAGTGGAATGGTATGCCCCTGTTACTCCTCCACCAACGCAAATCATTGCCGGACGATGAAGACATAGAGCGCAGCATCTACACCCACCGCCTTTCTTTACATCAGATCCTTCCTATCTCATCACCTGGATCGCTCATGACGGCTTCGTTTTCGCGACTTCCCAGATTTCTTTTTGGAAAGCTTGCTGCTGCTCCTCGTTTTGGGCTCACGATGCCGCCGATGCTTAGTGCTATGATGCTCGTCCAACTGCTGCTTGCTTGCGAGCGTCGCCGCTTCATCCCCGTCATCGCCACCACCATCCCCATCGAAAAAGTCCGCAGCCTTGCATCTCCTGTTGCTTGTCTCTTTGCCCCTGTTGCTGCTCGCCTCTTTCTCACGGGAATCATCGGCCTGTTGCCGCGCAGCGCCATAGCTTTGTCCTACGTGCAAAAAACCTAACAGTAGTGAAAAGTAACAGCAGAGGCTCATTCATGTCAACGGGGCGACCCTGACAAAGTATGAAGGAATCGAACTGCCGCGGGTCACATGGGATTCCACACCAGCAAGCTCAAAATTCGTTCGGCTGTACCAGGTACTTCCTCTGTACCGACATATCAGCCCGTTTGGAAAACGCGGAAACATGAGTCCATTTCTAAATACTGTCAAAGAGGGCCAAATAAGGCCGATGTCAACCAGTAGATCCCTGAAGTGTGGTCTGCAATAGTGTCAGGATGGGGTAATTGCAAAAAAAAAAAAAAGGGCCCGGGGATGACATGATATTTTCCCCGTGAAGCTACTTCGAAGTATGATTTGGCTCCAGATCCGGGCTGTGGCTTGCTTTGCGTCACGAACATTGCGAGTCAATGACACGACATCGCACTGCTGTCTGTTCGGGTGTTTGGCGATCGTTGTCCAAGACGGGGATGTACGACTATCAGCCCCGCGGTATGGAAGATACCGTCACAAGGTCACAGCTTCTTGCGCCAAACTATATTAGGCAGATGGACACCATTTGCACCCGGTGGGGCGCATGATGCCACGTCCAATGCTCCTGTGTGATAAAATTGATTTAACCCGATGCTGGTGAAGGGAACTGCAGAAATACTTCCTCTCGGCAGTGCGAACAGCAGTCATGCGGAGCACCATCACAGCAAAAACAAAAAAACATTGCCAACGGCAGCTACATTGCAATAAACAAACGGCATTACGTACAACAAGCAGTTGTAGGAGTAGCCTCCGCAGCAGTACGTATTTCGTATCCGTACAAGTAAAACGCCGGTGGGTCACTGCGATGCTAACAAACAGCACGAAGTGTCATCCTTCAAACACCAACAGGCAGGCGTTGGTACCCAACCATGTTGCACACCATCATCTTGTTTGGGTATACTACTTGTATTGTACTGCTGTATCGCGCGAATGCATCCCCTACTTTTGTGTGACTGCACCGATTTTCATCCCAAAGGCTAACAACTGGACATCCGCCAAAAGCGACGAGAGACGTGATTGAAAGTTTGCATGTACTGGCAGAGCAACACTGCACTTCTCATACAGCAGTAAAACATTTCTGAAACAGCAACACGCTCACTTTCTGCTGTCTTATCCTTGGCAGGCACCACTTCTTCTTCCTTGGATGCAGTGTCGTCAGCAATAATAGGAAATAAAGGCATCGCAGCGGGAAGTTTTCCCTCTCTGTGCAGTTGCTCTATGAACAAGGCTGCAAGCTTCTCCAACTACTGCTTCTTCTCTGACACTGCTTGCTGCTGTAGCTGGCCCGTCTACGGTGTCTACGTAGATTGGGTAGATTAGGGTTTCGCAGCTGAGGCATGTTACAGTTCGAGCGTTTTTTTTCGTCGACACTCCCGACACTCCTACTGCACGTTGGACAGCTCGTCAACTCGACAACTCGATAGCACTCTTTGTCTCTTTGCTCCTCTCTGCTGGCTACAGTATCCTGAGCACCATCAGTAGCATGGCTAGCACCTGCACGAGGACAAATTATCTTACGGTGGACAAACTTGGTTCAATGACAACGTTCGAGCTGAGACAGGAGGCAGAAACGCGGGGGCTGCTCGAAGATATGCCACACGTGAACCATTCCACGCTTTTGCAACGAATTGTTCAGGTGCGAGCGGGAGCAAGACGGAGCTAAATTTACAGCAGGCAGCAGGCAGCGGTATGTGTGTACGAAGCTGTAGGTAAAACATTACTGGTTCAGTGTTTGGCATACCTCGTGCCACCGCCAACAACAGTAA